CAAATGTGGAAGTGACACATGACTTCCCAGAGAGTGGCATAAATTTCCGGACTGGTCTTCTTTAAAATCTGGAGTTCCGCTGAGCCCGGAACGAACTCTTCGAGTTCCGCAGATCCCGGAACAAATTCTTCGTATGGTAAATCCCCGAGAATAAGACCTGAGACTTCGTGCATCTCGTGAAGAGCGAAGCCTAGCTCCCCACAGGGGTGAAGAAAGTGCAAGTCTCAGGACTATACTTCTCTAATATAGAGAAGAAGTGAAAGTGGCTCTGAATAATCCCAAACTTAGTAGCAGGGGAGCTTCCAATTCTTTCAGAACAAACTTGGTCATCTAGGCCCACCATCCAGCCGCTGGAGAATGAACCCAGCCAGGAGTTCTAAATCCTTGCGTAGGGAACTCTCCCTTCTTTTCCAGGAATCTCTTAACGAAGGTCTTTGCCGGACTGGGTGCTTCGCCAAGGGGATACTCCTTAGCAAATAAACTCGGCCGTAAAGCTGTCACCTGCCGATTATAACCAACGGGGCGAACCCCATAGAAAGTCAGAGCTCCTAGAGCAACCCCATCTTGATCCTTAACCAGGGGCCAATCCATACGCCTCGGGACGGAAGCGCATTGGAAATAAGATAGGGGGAACATCCTCTCCATGTTGGGCAAGAAAAGGTTGCGTTCCTCAACTCTCCGCAGCCACTTATAGCCCCCATCATAAGCAGTGCTTGCGTTGAAGTCAACAAAGTCCCCGAAGAGATATCCAGGTTTGGTTATGGGCTTACGGCTTTTCAAGTCGGGCGTCCGTAACCAATGTCCTAAGAGTGTCGGAAGAAGCTTGGGTAATTATTTCTACGCGACTCTTCTCCCTCATTCGGAAAACCGGGAGTTCTAAACGCGAGCTGAAAGTTATGTTCATGTCTGCACCACCTTCATGTCCAAAATGGTGGCGAAAGAGAAGAGGCTCGCTAGTATGGCGCACTGCAAAAAGAAGAAAAGAGTTAGACAACTCAAAATCAAATTTCAGACGCGAAGGTCGAACCCCGCGTCAAACAAGTTCAGACACGAAGGTCGAACCCCGCGTCAAACAAGTTCAGACGCGAAGGTCGAACCCCGCGTCAAACAAGCCCAGACGCAAAGGTCGAACCCCGCGTCAAACAAGCCCAGACGCAAAGGTCGAACCCCGCGTCAAACAAGTTCAGACGCGAAGGTCGAACCCCGCGTCAAACAAGCCCAGACGCAAAGGTCGAACCCCGCGTCAGACAATCTCAGACGCGAAGGTCGAGCCTCGCGTCAGAAAGTTCAGACGCGAAGGTCGAGCCTCGCGTCAGAAAGTTCAGACGCGTGGGTCGACCCTCGCGTCAAAAAACTGAGACGTGGAGGTTAAACCCCTCGTCAAGAAGATTAAACGACGGGGTCCAGCCCCGCGTTATGGGAACGAGTTTCCTCGTTAATTTCAAGATCAGAACTTGCCGAAGCAAGTTTAATGACCACGAAGGTCGTACTCACCACCGATCAAGGGGAGTTGGGGCGTCACATCCGCCTGAGCAGTAGCGCCGCCAGCCGGCGCTGACAGGGCCGATCCTTGAGCCGTAACGGCATCAGATTTGGTAGGACGAGAGACCAATTTCTTGGGTGCCATAAGATCTCGTCGGAGGAGATGAGCAGTTGTCGCCGGAGATGAGAACGAAGTTTTTTCGTTGGAATTTCAAGAAGAGTCAAATGACTCTTGATTTGACCCCTAGCGGTCTATTTATAGACAGCTATGAGCTGTCAAATCGTAACGAACGGGATTCGAAGCCATCAGCCCGCCCAAACTCGACCCTCGCGTTCGAGTTGGTTCAGCTTCCAAACGCGATGCTCATCTACACGTTTAAATTTCCCAACGCTGGGCTCACCCACACGTTCCAGTTCTCAAATGCAGAAGTCATCTATGTGTTGAGACCACTATGAACAGCAATTTCTTAGCTACCAAGGCGACCAAAGACAGGAAGAAATAAACGACTCCACTGGGGAGTCTATGGGAGGGGTACAGATAGATTACAATCAACAACGTCGAAATTATCTGGCTCAATTAGACGGAAGAAGCAATCAATCCACTAAATTTTTGAGATCCAAAGTATTCCGAAAATTCGTCCCAGTCAACCGCGAACTTTCGAAAACTTTGGAGGGGGTTCTGTAGGCTGTCTAAAAATCACAATAGATAGCTTATTCAAACAAGCTCCGACAATGGAAGTCACAATCAGACGACTTAAATCACTGCGTCCGTAACTCCACAATCGCCACAAACGCGACCTCACTTCTGAGATGATTGATCTGGATGGCTGCGACAACAGCATGACTAATATTATATTAGCAACTATTAGAGATGCTGATGAGCAGTGGGATGATTTCAGAAATAAAAGGTTGGACTTAGTTGGTGAGTTGCTTGGTAGAGAGCTGTGGGCAAATATTCATCTTTAAGACACTATGAATGTTGATTCCCGTCTAGCTCCTACAACGAAAGCTATAATCAAATAGCTTTCGGGTCGATAATCGAAAGTTGCGAATGGAGGGCTTTTCACATAGATCAAGAAGAGTTACAATTCAACGACACTTCCGACGACAGATGAAAACTCTATTCAGCAATCTTCACAATCTACAGTGAAAGTTACAATCTGACGACTTTCACACCCCACAACAGCTAAAGTCAGGATTACTGAACAACGGTCCTTGCAATACACCACGGAAGAAGCTACAAGTCAAATAGCTCATTTTGTGACGCGGATGTCATCCCCGCGTCATCACTTTGGAAATGAAGGCGACCCCGCGTCGCCAAGCCACAATCCAAACGCGGGCGACCTTCGCGTTCAGGGGTTCAACCAACACCGACCCCCGCGTTTCCAAGCAGGCAACAAGCCAAAACGCGAGCGACCCTCGCGTTCAATGGTGTTCAGCTAACACCCAACCTCGCGTCTCAATCCTAAGAAGCGAAGTTGGGTTCCTATAAAAGCTCAACAAACCCAACGGAGTAAAGGGTTGGATCATCAGAATCTAAACCAGACGAGTTGGTTAAAGGGGCTGGCTCTTTAAAAACTAAGGGGTGAGTGGTTGGATTTTTGACATCTGAACCGCACAGGTTGGATTCTCAGGATCTCAACCACTCAGGCTTGGAGATTCAGCAGCAACGAAATCCTTAGAGATAGGATTTTTGAATCAAACTCAGAAGATCAAATCTGAGAGGATTCTTCGACAACAGAAAAACAGCTTGATCCTTAACCGAATTTTCGGTTCCAACAACTCTATTCACAGAGTTCAAACTCGTTCAGAGTTCTTAAAAATCATTCAGAGTTATTCATAAAACTTTCCACGAAAGTTCATCGTTCCCACGAGATAAAGACGGTCGGATCGTCAACGGAGAGCAAGTTCGACGCAATCAATCGAAGGAAGCACTTCATCGCTGCCAAGAAGAACCCAGTTTTAAACAAAGGGGAAAACCAAATTCGTTTTCCTCTCTTTTGTAATCAAATTGTAACCGAGATCAAAGGAATCAAAGTCAAATTTTCTTTATTCTCTTCTTTGCAATTTTCATGGGTTAGGACATGAAATCGTAACTTTTGGCTTCTGCAAAATTATTAGCTAACTGATCCAAATGAATAAAAATGCAAACAAATCATGGGTTATAACTCACAAAATCCTGAATTTATCCTCCACAAAATTATTTGTCTATCGGTCAAAAACAACTAAAAATAGTAAAAAATCATGGGTTATAGTGCTAAAAAATCATAAACTTCGACCACTGTGAAATTATTTGCCAACTGTTCAAAATGATAAAAATGGTCAAAAACCATGGATTATACCTCATGAAATTGTGAATTTTGGGACCAACAAAACTATTTGCCAACAGGCCAAAATTACTAAAAATGGCCAAAGATCACGGAGTGTAACTCACGAAATAGTGAATTTTGGCTTCCAATAAATTATTTGCCAATGAGTTGAAAGCTACTAAAAATGGCCAAAAATCGTAGGTTATTGCTCATGAAATTGTGTATTTTAGCCCCCACAGAATTATTTACCAATGAATTCAAATAATTAAAATATAGCCAAAAATCATGCGTTATAGCTCAAGAAATTGTAAATTTTGGCCTCCAAAAATATCAACAAACTGATTGAAACAACTAAAAATGGCAAAAATCTTTGGTTATAGCTCACGAAATCGTGAATTCTGACATCCACAAAATTATTTGACGACGAGTCATAACAACTAAAAACGACTCAAAATCATGAGTTATAGCTCACAGAATATTGAATATTGGCCACCATTAAATTAGACATTTTCACATATAGTTTATATTTTGGTTTCCTGCCTACATGCACTTCAGATACCGGCCTACTAAATCTATAATCATAGTTTACCTGCGGACCTGCTCCATGTCGAGGCTCAACCGGTATATTCATCTTCTTTTGTTGTCTATACTACCACCACACGAGATCAGACGTGTCGGGTTTCATGCAGGACTTCATTCTTCTTCGGTTACATGACCTGCATCTGTTATGGCTTCTTCCTAATGCTCGGGACTGTTGGCTTCCATACGTCCCTACTCTTTGTCAGTCACTTTTACCGTTGCATCAAGTGCGAGTAGATCAATACGAAATTCTCTAATCTCTTTCATCCTTAATTCATTCTTATGTACCTTAATGTAGTTTGTATCAGCTGTGGCCTCCTTACACTACCAAATTTTCTCGAGATGAGAATGTTCAGAACCTGTTTTGAATCTAGAACATTTATTTTTACGTTCTTCAATTCCCAGTTGTGGCGTGTGATGTATTTCAAGAAGTGGATTTATGTCTTATGTATCGTTTTGAAGTATTACTCGCTAAATTCATTTGTGGCATAACTGATTGATGTGTGTTCCGTTGCTAAGTATTTGATGCATTTGTTTCCACAAGCAATTTGCAAAGCAAATATCAGAGAAGGAAACAATTCCATGCCAGTGAAGAGCAATGTAGTTGATGCATTGACAGAAAAATAAGGGGAACAAAATAGAACCGATCACATATCTCATACAAAGTTCCCCGGGTACACTGAAGCATATTGATATTAAAGACAATCTTGTCCCTATTGTCCTGTGACATTCCAAGAGGTGATGCAGTTCTTTTAGTAATTAGTACAATACAGAGGCTAATGGGTTTGTGACCGCAATAATCCTGATTTTTAAAGGGCTTTTGCAATGTTCTGATATATCTGATCACATTCCTGATAATAATAATAAAAAGTTTCCGGGTAAACTTAAGTATATATCGATGTTAAAGACATTGTTGCCCCAATTGTCATGGCATTACCCGCGGTGATGAAGTTCTTTTCACTATTCACAGTCTACCAATTTATCGTCTGAATAACCCTGATCTCTGAAGGGTTTTGCAATATTCAGAAATTACGGGGGACTTCTTCACTAGCTCCCAGATCTTAGCTAAGTTACGCAGCCAATCTCGCTCAGACACAGGTTTCACAAATGAACAGCCATTCATTGACAGTATCTGAAAAAGGGAAGCAGTATACACTTAATCAGAATAACAAATGAAAGGAAAAGAAGAAATTAACTTAAACAGCATTCATCTAGTTCTAGGTTTCTTTGAGCCAAACATGTTATTCAACAGTTTTATTCAATGACCTGAGAAACATATATAACCAAATTTATATTATCAAGTACAAGGTATCTGCACCTCTCCAGTTCTCTTGCTTATTTTTATTACTCCTGTTGTCACCAATTGAAAAGCTATTTAGAGAAGATGTAAGCAGCCAAACAATGTAAATTGTAATATATCTGAAAGACCCCTGAAGCTGAATTATCAATCATAATTTGGATTTTGGAGCCAAAGAAGAGAAGATTATACAGAAAATTACCTGATCACGGAGCTGTGCTAGCATGGAATCATAACTTCCAAATAGAGGTTTATGACAGCCATCTTGTGTTCTAAGAGGGAGTAGAAACAAGCTTGGTCCTGTTGATTTTGACTCGTTATTCATAGTATCAGAAGACTTAGATTCAACTTGCTCTTCGGCCATATCTCTAAAATTATCGTCAGCAAAGGAGGAGGATTTCAAGTACTTTGATAGTGCACTCTTCAAACAGACAGTGTTAGAAGGAGACAAGTCTCGGTCCTGCAACCTGGGAGAAAAAGGAACCCTGAGCGATTCATTAAGCGTTATGTACTACTTCGCGTACTGTTTCTACTCTAGACTGAATTAAAATTCTTGACACATCTTGCAAGAGAAGTGAACCGGAGCAACTCTTATAATGGACCATACCACATAAAAACTACAAAGTTTACAGTACGCATATTTGTTTTACATTGGTTCCAAGAATGAATATTTGACAAATAGCATTGCGTTATAGCCCTTGAGAATCGCGAGTTTGAAGAAAGAACTTACATGCTATAGGATCGGAATGAACAAAAATTGAAAAAAAAATTATGAGTTATAGCCCATAAAAATCGCAAACTTGAAAACTGTGGGTAACTGCCCACAAAACCATGAATTTGAATTATGCACGCCTTTCAGTTAAAATTAGCAATTTTGGTGATTTATAACTCAAGATTTTGGCAATTTTTGTTTGTTTTCTTCTTAATGACAAGTAATTAAATGTACTTCGAAATTGTGATTTTCATTGGTTATAATAGCGAAAATTATATGTACTTCAAAATTTGTGATTTTGGTTGATTATTACTCGTGATTATGGCAATGATAACCCATGAAAATCGCAAATATTGAAGTAGGTATAACTACTTGGCATTGGAAAAAAGAACAAAAGTGCCAAAATTATGAGTTATAATCCACCAAAATTGTAAATTTTAAAGTACTCATATTAATTGTCATTGGGTCAAATGAACGATAACGGACAAAATCCATGTGGTTATAGCCCCTTAAAATCGTGAATATTGAAATTCACATAAGCAGTTCGTAAATAGTTGAAACGAACAAAATGGATAAAAATATATATGGCTCATGAAACCATGAATTTTAAATATGCATATTTACTTCCCATTGCATTGTTAAAAAGATAGACAAAAATTGTGGGTTATACTTTGAAAATTGCGATATTTAAAGACAAAGAACCTTTTGTCATCTGGTCAAAACGAATAAAAACTGGCAAAAATCATGGATTATAGTCTATGAAAATTGTGAACCTTGATGTTCACATGGTTAATTGATTAATGGTCAAATTGAAAAAATTTCATGGATTATAGCCTATGAAAATCATGAATTTTGAACCACACATTTATTTTCCATTGGAACGAAGAATAAATATTGATAAAAATCACGGGTTATAGCCCATGGAAATCACATTTTTTTATGAAAGAACATTTAATTGTCATGAGAGTGAAATTAACAAAAATAGGCTGAAATTGCGGTTATAACCAATGAAAATCACAAAATTTGAAGTGTGTATACTTGCTTAGAATTAGGATAAAAAGAATAAAAATTGCCAAAATGAGAGGTTATAACCCACCAAAATCCCAAAATTTGAAGTAGTCTATTAGTTGTCATCGGGTCAACTGAACAATAATGAACAAAAATTATAAGTTATAACCCATAAAATCCGTAAATATTAAAGTTCACACAATAAATTGTTAAATGGTAGAAGTGAACAAAATGGGGGAAAATTTCATTGACTATAGCTCATGAAATAACAAATTTAAAGTACGAATATCTATTATTCATTGGGTCACAGAATGATAATTGACAAGATTGTAGGTTATAGCCCATAAAAATTACGATTTTTAATGAAAGAAAGTTCAATTGCCATTTGGTTGAAACAAAAGAAAATAAATTAAAATTGTGGCTTATAGGCTATAAAAATTGTGAAATTTGAAGTATGTATAACTACTTCCTATTAGGATGAAATGAATCAAAGTTGCCAAATTTGTAAGTTATAACCCACCATAAGTGTGAATGTTGAAGTAGTCATAATTAACTGTCATTGAGCCAAATAGATGATATAGACAAAAATTAAGTTAAAGCCCACAAAGATCACCAATTTTCAAGTATGTATAATTACTTGCCATTAATATGAAAGGAAGAAAAATTACGAAAATTATGAATTATAACTCACCAAAATCACATATTTTAAGATAGTCATAATTAATTGCCAATGAATCGAATGACTGATGATGGACAAAAATCATGAGTTATAGCTCATGAAACTTGCGTATATTGAAGTTCGCACAAATTTAATTGTTAAATGGTCAAAATGGAAAATGGACAAAAATTACCATATAACACACGCAAATCACAAATTTTGAAGAATACATTTATTTTCCATCGATTTGATGAATGAAATTGACAAAAATCATGAGTTATAGCCCCTGATATATATTGATTTTTTATGAAAGTTTAATTGACATTTATCCAAAACTATCGAAAATAGACTAGAATAATGGGTAGCCCATGAAAATTACAAAATTTTAAGTACATATAAATAATTGTCATTGGGTCGTAAACGAAAAAAATGCCAAAGTCTCGAGTCATAACCCACCAAAAATGCAAACTGCTAATTACTTATAATTAATTGTCATTAGGTCTAACGAATGATAACAAACAAATACTATGGGTTATTAGCCTAAGCAAATACTGAATATTGAAGTTCATACAATTAATTTTAAATAGCTGAAACAAGCAAAACTAGATAAAAATTATGGCCTATAGCCCATGAAAAATCACAAATTTTAAAGTACACATTTATTTCTCATTGGATTGCAGAACAAAAATTGAAAGACAATCATTAATTATAGCCTTTGAAAATCGTAATTTAAAAAAAAAACTTATTTGTCACTCGGTCAAAATGAACGAAAATTGACAAAAATCACGTGTCACAAAGTCCATGAAAACCACGAATGTTGAAGTTCATACACTTAATTGCTTAATGGTCAAAACGAAAAAATATAACATTCATGGACTATAGCCCACAAAAATCATGAATTTGGAAGTATACTTATTTATTTATTATTAGATCAAAGAACAAAAATTGATAAAAATCGTGGGTTATAGCATATGGAATCATGATTTTTTTTATAAATGAAAATTTAACGCAACTAGGATGAAAGTAATGAAAATAGACTAAAGTAGTAGGCAGTAAGCCATGCAAATCGCTAATTATAAAGTGCGTATAGATACTTGCAATTTGGATAAAAAGAAAAAAAATAAAGAAAATGATGATTTATAATCGGCTAAATACCCATATTGGTATTTTAATTCCACCCAATTTACCAAGAAGGTATTTTAATTAGGTAAACCTGCTTTAAGACATTTTAATTGATTCAACTTACCAACAAGACTATTTTTCTCATCGGCGACCAGTTTTCCGGCGAGAGCTCGTCACGTGCGTGGCACGTGATGACTTAAACTGATTTTTAGCTGCTGATGTAGCACCGATCTGTCCTATTTTGGGTGAATTGAGATTTTTAGAGGGTTAATTTCTGCCTTTAAACACCACCATGTCAGAAAATCCATGCCACATCAGCAGCTAAAAAACAGTCATCACGTGCCACGCACGTGACGAGCTCTCATCGGAAAACTGGTCGCCGACGAGAAAAAGGGTCTTGTTGGTAAGTTGAATAAATTAAAATGTCTTAAAGTAGGTTTGCCTAGTTAAAATACCTTCTTGATAAATGGGATGAAATTAAAATAGCAATATGAATATTTAGCCATTTATAATCCACCAAAATCGATAATTTTGAAGTAGTCATATTTGTTATCATTGGGTCAAATAAATGATCAATATAATAAAAAAAATGTGGGTTATAAGACATGAAAATCATGAATATTAAAGTTCACACTATTAATTGCAAAATGGTCGGAATGCATAAAATGGACAAAGATCATGCACTATAACACATGAAAATAACAAACTTTGAAATACACACATTTATTATCCAATAGGTCGAAGAATTAAAATCATGGCTTATAGTCTATGAAAATCGTGAATTTGAAGAATATATAACTACTTGTCGTTAGGACGAAACTGATGAAAATTGCCAAAATCATGGGTTATAACTAAGGGTGAGGAAATTTTGTTTTAAACCGATCAAATCGACTGAACTGCCCGAAATTCAGTAATTCGATTTGGTCTTGTACACAATTGGGTTTGGTCTGTTCAAATACTTTTAAAACCACAATGACCGAACCGACTGAATAATCATTTAAATGCACCTAGTAAGCTTTCATCGCAGGCCAACAAGCAGCACTTCAGCTCAATGCAAGGCATCTCAAATTTCGAGGGGATTCCAAGCTGGTGATTAGTCAAGTGAGAAGTGAATGGAAGACTCAAAATAAACGACGCCTTTATTAATTAGTCAGTTGTCTGGAACATTTCTAACTGGCCCAATATTGTACGGTCACTAAGTATAATATATTAAAAACTTGGTATGTATCCTACTTACTCGATACCCTCTTTCACTATTCATAGGATCCACCCATGCACCCATGTCACTAATCCAATTTCCAACTCAACGAGCTGTTACACGTAAATGTTTGTGGGGTCCACGGGTTTTCCCTCTTTTACCAAGTTGTAGATACCCAAAAGAAAGTCCTTTGTCCTCTCACGAAACACAAGGCATTTAATAAGCAAATTACATCGCCATCACCTTCTTTTTGCTTTCGGCTCTTCTTTGACCTCTACTTCCACCTCTACATGATACTTTTGGCCATTGCGAGAGCTTTTGTTTCTTGGTTGCTACTTAACGTTGAAGATCTTAAGAACCGAAAAAGTCGACCGAACCAAACCAAAATATTTTGCTTTGGTTCGGTTCGATTCTATGTCTAACTCGGTTCGGTTCGGTGTGGTCGAAAAATGGTTAAAACCAACCACGACTGTTTGCTCTCCACTAGATATAACCCACCAAAATCTCGAATTTTGAAGTAGTCGTAATTAATTGTCATTGGGTCAAATAAACGATAATGGACAAAAGTTCATGGGTTAGCCAATGAAAATCACGAATATTGAAGATTGCACAATTAATTCCTAAATGCTTGAAACGAACAAAATGGACAAAAAATATGGACTAAGCACATAAAAATCATGAATATTGAAGTTTACACAATTAATTCCTAAACAATCAAAATGAAAACGTGAATTTTGAACTCTACAAAATTATTTGTCATTAGGTTGAAATGAACAAAAATTATGAG